ACCTATTCCACCCGTACAAAAATGTACTGAAAAAAGAGGCAGTGCTGCAACCCTTGAGATTCAATCCTTTGAGGTTAATCTTCACACCAATGCCCCGCTCATAGCCTCTGCAAGCCACTTCTGTAGATACAATCAATGGATCTGGCATCTTTATTGCAGATAAAACAGTACAAGGGGACCTTTCAGCCCCTATGGGCCTTACTCATATGAGTGTAGCACCCTCCTAGGTAGATGCTAGGCTTAGATAGAATTAGTGGCGTTTTTTGATAAGCAAATTTAGTTGTCACTCTGTAGTCAGAGTAGCTGTAAATATTTGTTAGGATAAAGCATAGTCAGCTTACTATACTTGGCCATTTACTTAGGTCTGCTCTATGTGCTCAGCTGCTGCCAGTCTGCCTAGCTTCATCTGTATCCAACTTTAGAAGTTTCTGGATGATGGGTGTAGAGTTATGTAGATGGCAGCATGAACATTGGTACAGCCTCAGCCTATCCTAGAGAGACTGGCTCTGATGGCATGCTGGATAATTGTATATATTCAATGAGCACAGGGAGCTCTGGGTTCTTTCCTATCTAAGACTGATCCAGCCTGGGAGAGGGCACGCTGCCTTCCCAGACCTCTACTACCATGTGGCCTTAGGTGAGCAATCTAAGGGTCTGAATGCTGAGACCCAGGTTCTACTACACTGACTGCAGGGCTGTCTACTGAAGATCTAGTCTGGTATTATGAAGGAAGACATCCAGCTGCTCTTGGGCCTTGTGAGTCAGACATCCCTTAAGGATCGTAGAGACTGTGTGCTGTTTAACCCTCCCTGGGCCTAGGAAGTCAGCTGCTGGTCTAGCAAAGGGAACACTGGCTGGTGTTCAAAAGAGCTTTATCCACCTGGTCTACTTTTAAAGAGACACTGCTCTGGGGCTCTAATGAAGTTACTGCTGCTACTACTGCCACTGCCTTAAAGTCCACTGTTTGATTCAAGCACGGACTCTGACATAGCTTGCCCTGAAGATTAGATAAAGTGTACATAGTTCCTATTTTGAAGTATCCCACATATCTCCCTAATCCCTATCCAGGTTCTCCAAAAATAAAACAAAAGCAACACCCTTAGATTGGTTAATGGAGAAACATGTGAATGAGCCTATGCATCTGGTTGTGGGGCAAAGGGAGGACCTGGACAGTATTCCTGTGGCTCCTATGGGAGTTTCGCTACATGATTAAGGCCCATAGGGTCTGAAATTTATCAATGTTTCTGTGCTGGATTTTACTGTATTGTTTGATCTGCAATAAAGTTTGTCTAACTCCGATACACCGAGGTGCCTGATCCTTTGATCATTTTCCTCACCGTGTTCTGCTGTGAACGGGCCCTTAAAAGGATAACCCTCTCTCTGCTCTATGGTATTTTTTTTTTTTCGTTTTTTGGCATTGGTACAATGCTCCAGTGCTCAGCTCCCCAAGCAATTTTTTAACATACCCTTTCTTGTTAGCCTTGAAAATGTCCAGAGTTGATTATCAAGCAAGAACACTTCTGGAAGCTCCCCTGGCCTGCACTATGATTTAATTCTACAAAAAGTGGAAATGCAGGATTTGGAGGATTGAACCCTGGCATGCACCAGGGGACACAACCATCTGACACTCCAGGAAATGTTAAAAGCTGAAGATGCTGGCAGAGGCTGCAGCCCCGGAACAGAGTGGAGACAGAAGACATTGGCCACTGGAGAAGTCAGTATGATACCTCTTCTTTTGCAAGGGAGCTCCATTTGCACTTTTATGGGACCTGATAGGGTCTTTTCAAATGAATAAAAAAAAAAAAAAAAAAATAGCATTTTTCACTCAAGCCCAGTGGTATTGTATCTACAGTATACAGTGATGAAAACAAGTCACTAGGCAACTTTTAACATAATTCCAAATGAATACATACAAATGTACAAATAAAAAAGGTATATATTGCATACATAATGTAACCTGATGTTATATCCTGATTTTCTTATATTCTTCGTTTCTTTTCAGGCACAACCTCCCCAGACTTTCCGCATAATTGCTGAGATGCTAATATGCTCTCTGTAATCTTTCCTTCCTGCTGGTTGTATTTGTGTTGGGCTCTTTTGCTCACACATATAATAATCACTGATTTTACCAAGTGAAATTGTAAAGCCATAACCTGTATTTATGCCAGAGCTGCGCATATGTACAAAACGTACCACCAGTGGCAATGTGGGAACACGGCGTGCTGCGGGGAGACATTCAGGGCTACTGTTGTTCTCAGGAAAACATAACACATGGCGACCGTAGATTCTGATTACTAACTACTTGACAGGGTAATTGTAGCGAAATTATATTTTTGTAAGCACTCAGCAGGAGACTGTCCGAGACATTCAGTCGCTATGGATTCTTTAATGGACACTTTTTGCTGAACCTATGCTTTGTGTCAAACAGAAATGCTCCTCTCTGATGACAGCCCGATCGAAAGCTCTGCTGATATGTAACGGGCGACTGTAGGTGGAAGATGGCATCCTGTAATTATTTTAAGAGTGACATGGGGAGGCATGTGGACACCCATGTAATTAGCCTTTAATCTGTAATGACTTATTTTAATGGAATTTTATATCTGTGAAAACTCACATTTAATGTTTCGAAAATTTATTTTAAAGGGAGAGGTCTAGAAATATTTGCATGCAATCAACTTGTTGAAAACATGTCCTTAAATGCCATGAGTTGAACATGAATTCCAGGTCCCTTAAAAAAAAAAAAAAAAAAAAAAATCACAGGTAAAAATAGGTAAAGCAAGCCTATCATCAGCATTGCTTCCCTACTTCTTGCTATCACAGGAAAAACTGAGGACAGTGAAGCCATAGGCTCCTGCTGCTGTCAGTCAAACTCCTGTGAGGAGGGTTCGGGAGCATGGCTTACTGGCACTGTGTATTTCTATGGACTCGCACAGCCCAGCCTGTGAGCACATACATGGGTGTCTTCTTAGCACCTGGCTTTCTAAGGAGACACCCAGAGTAGGGAGAAGCTGACAGCGCTGGCGGTGGACTGCCAGAACAGGAGGTAAGGGACCTCTCTGTGCAATATCGTTGCACAGAGCAGGAAAGTATTACCGGGTTTTTATTTTAAACCAAAACATGTATAGCCTTTAAATATATTTTGACCAGACGGAAATCATTTTGATGCAGTTGCCCAGCTTTAACTTGCTGAACATGTATTGCAATATAAAAAATTAAAGGAACACTTTTTAATCAGAGAATAGCATCAAGTCATTTAAATTCCTGGGATATTGATCTAGTCAGCTAATTAGCAGAGGGGTTGTTAATCCGTTTCAGCTGATTTGGTGTTAATGAAATTAACAACAGGTGCACTAGATTGGCAACAATGAGGTAACCCCCAAAACAAGAATGGTTTTCCAGGTGGAGGCCACTGACATTTTTTTCCCTTCTCATCTTTTTCTGACTGTTTTTCCACTAGTTTTGCATTTGTCTAGGGTCAGTGTCACTACTGGTAGCATGAGGAGATACCTGGACCCTACAGAGGTTGCACAGGCAGTCCAACTCCTCCAGAATGGCACATCAATATGTTCCATTGCCAGACGGTTTGCTGTGTCTCCCAGCACAGTCTCAAGAGCATGGAGGAGATTCCAGGAGACAGGCAGTTACTCTAAGAGAGCTGGACAGGCCGTAGAAGGTCCTTAACCCATCAGCAGGAATGGTATCTGCTCCTTTGTGCAAGGAAGAACAGGATGAGCACTGCCAGAGCCCTACAAAATGACCTCCAGCAAACCACTGGTGTGAATGTCTCTGACCAAACAATCAGAAACAGACTTCATGAGGGTGGCCTGAGGGCTCAGCGTCCTCTAGTGGACCCTGTGCTCACTGCCTGGCACCATAGAGCTCGATTGGCAGTTGTTATTGAACAGAATTGGTCCACCACTGGTGCCCTGTGCTTTTCACAGATGAAGCACACGTGACAGACATGAAAGGGTCTGGAGAAGCCGTGGAGAACGTTATGCTGCCTGTAACATCATTCAGCATGACCGTTTTGGTGGTGGGTCAGTGATGGTCTGGGGAGGCATATCCATGGAGGGACTCACAGACCCCTACAGGCTAGACAATGGCACTCGACTGCCATTAGGTATCGGGATGAAATCCTTGTCAGACCCTACGCTGGTGCAGTGGGTCCTGGGTTCCTCCTGGTGCACAACAATGCCCGGTCTCATGTGGCAAGAGTATGCAGGCAGTTCCTGGAGGATGAAGGAATTGATACCATTGAATGGCCCCAAATGCTTGCCTGACCTAGATCGTATAGAATACCTCTGGGATATCATGTTTCGGTCTATCCGACACTGCCAGGTTGTACCTCAGTCCAGGAGCTCAGTGATGCCCTGGTCCAGATCTGGGAGGAAATACCCCAGGACACCATCCGTTGTCTCATTAGGAGCATGCACCGATGCTATCATGCATGCATACAAGCACGTGGGGGCCATACTAACTACTAAGTACCATTTTCAGTTACTGCAATTAAATTTCAGCAACATGGACTAGCCTGCTGCATAATTTTATCACTTTGATTTTCTGGGTGTCTTTGAATTCAGTCCTCTGTTGATACTTTTTAATCAAACGATGGGACATCCTTACGTTTCTAACTCATTACCCAGTCCATATCAGTATAGATATCCAGCATGATATTTTTCCCCATTGAGATCTGATGTGTTTTCAAAGTGTTCCTTTAATTTTTCAATTAAGCTTTGACAAGAAAAAACCTGGAAGCTGATTGTTTTTCTGTGCACAGCTGCACCAGACTTTACACTTTCCTTTTTTAGTAAATCAACCCCTCTCTGTTGTTGCTGCGTACAAGCTGGCTAATTGGCTGCCACCACTTTGGGTGTGGGCAAAACTCTGCAAAAATACTAACCTTGGATTCACACTGTTTGTCAGATGCGGTTACATGAGGACAGTGGTGGCACCAGACACTGATTTATACATAGTATAAATCTGACAGCTGCCACTGACAGCAGCTTCTGGTCACATGCTGTGTGTGCAGCAGGGGTGGACTGACAACTCATGGGGCCCCCGGGCAATAGGGGATCATGGGGCCCCTGTGTCCTTGCCCAAACTCAAAAAAGCCTATGAAAAAGGTACCAGGGGCATCTCATGGGGCCCCCTACTGACCCCCCGGGCAGTGCCCGAGTTTCCAAATGGTCAGTCCGCCCCTGGTGTGCAGGCAGAGTTCACAACCCCTGGCAAGATATGCTGTACAGATTCTCGCCATTATTGATTGGAGCATTGTGCAGGGGGAGTGTCTAACCTCTGTGTGACAACAGCGGTCCAGATCTCCACCGGACTGCCATCAAAAGGCAGCTTCATATAAACGTAAGAACTAATAACTTAAAGAAAAAAAAATCTTACACATGCTTTGTGTTTTATGGAGCCTGACTTGCATAACCCTAAAAAACTAGAAAGCTTCAGATGGACTTTAAGAAGCATCCCCATATAATCTGGCCATTTCTTTCACTGTACAGTATATAGATGCAAGCACTCTTTAAAATCGGCCCAATTTCCCCTATATACAGTAGACCCTGAAATCTACTCATCCAGATGCATTATGAAAGGCTTACAGGTTCTGTTCATTGTCCCTGCTGTGTTGTTTATGCTTTACACCCTACTGTGCCTCTGAAAAGTGACCCTTTCCACTGGATCTAATTATTCATGGGTCTCCTGGACCCTTCACTTTTTAGTGAAACTGGTTTAAATGAACATTAATGAAGGGAAAACAACAAGGTGTATAGTCCCCCTGGTTTAATTACAAGGTTTCGCACAAACACTATATTCTAATTATGCATCATGTCTGCAGCGTACAACAATGCCTTGCGCTTCATGCTAAATCACAGCCTCCTAACCTTTCCTTTCAGCTGAAACAGCCAGTCACTCATGTAGTCCCACAGGTCCTACACGAACAGCAGCAGAATATATTTTTTTTTAATAATGTACACATTAGTCCTGTGATTTGCCCCTGGCAAGACAGGAGTTAATAATGGGGATAAAAATACAGTATACATGATAATTAAAGAGGCTTTGTATATGATTGGTAATGGTTGAAAGGAGTATACCAGTGCCTCCATGACGAGGACATATTCAGAGGTCATACTACTACCCCAGGCAAATGGTGCTGCCCTTTAGTAAAGTTTTCTGGGCCCTCCCAAAGTTGCTTGGGTCTCCCTGCTCAATCTACCCTCGTGTTGCATGACTATTGCTAGGATTGTTAACGGTGGTGCTGCTGTTTCATACTTCATGCAAATTTCATACTTTTGTCTCAATAAATGAAACACGGACAGCTAAATACACAACTGATTTACTCATGTAAGCTTTTTTACCTGACAAAGGTTTTTTAAATTCTGCTCGGCTGGTCTTGTGATCCAAACAATACTGGCAGACAGCCCAGCCAGGCCTGACAATGTAATCCCTTTCTGTAAGCATGTCAATGGTTTGTGTTGATGGACTTTGTTCACATTAGAAAGTGTTTCTTTCCCCATACAAGTCAATGTGAATGCAATAGTAGTGTGAAGGAGGCCAAGCCTCATTTAGCCTTACTGCTGCTTTCTGTCAAGACCCTTTGGGGTTGATTTACAAAAAAATTGAAAATTCAAAATCTGGTGCAACTCTACATATAAACCAATCAGTTATTCTTACCTGCTCTGTGCAGTGGTTATGCACAGAGCAGCCCCAACCCTCTTCTTCTCGGGTCCCCCACTGGCACTCCTGGCCCCTCTCTCCTGCCTAGTGCCCACAGACAGGGCTGCTGTTAGAAACCACGAGGCCCCATATAGCCAATCTGACAGCCCCCCCCCCCCCCCCAAAAAAAAAAACACAGTTTACTATACTTCAGTTATGAACGAACACAGCAAGTGATTGCTAATGATCACTCATTGTGTTTATGCAGGAAAGGAAGGGGCTGGTAAATGTAACATATTTACTGGAACCTTCCCCACTCTCTATCCTGAAGGATCCTATTGTCCTAGTGCCTTCAGCTGCCGGTGGGAAGGAAAGGAGTGTAGCTGGCAGCACTGTGGGGTGGAGGGCCTGGGCAACAGGGGGAAATATATGGTGCACAAGCAGGGCGATATGGGGAAATTACTGGAATCGATCCCCTGTATGGCTCTCTCTGCAGCAGCTAAAAGCCAACAGGAGGGAGAGGAGACAAAATCAGCTTTCTGCTGCTGCAGAGAGAGCCATACAGGGGATAGGTTCCAGTAATCACTCCTCTATTGTTCAAATCACCCTCCCTGCTAACATCTTATTGCCCCAGCTGCCTGGGCCCCCCTGCTGGCCTGGGCCCCCTACAGTAGGACTGGTGGTACCCCCTTATCTACGGCCTTGTCCCCAAAGCAAGCAGCTTGCTCTCAAGCAACTGCTCTGCATGCCCAATCACACATAGAGCTGCAGCTTGGTCCTGCCCCCTCTTTCTCCTCATTGGCTGTGATTGACAGCAGCGGGAACCAATGGCTCCCACTGCTGTCTCAGACAATGAGAAGGGAGAGTCCCCGGAGAGCCAAGGCTCTCATGTGCATCGCTGGATCGAGAGGGGGCTCAGGTAAGTATTGGGGGGGGGGCTGCTACAAACAGAAGATTTTTTTAAAAAAAGCTTGAGCCACTTTAATTGAACAAGCTGAAGTTAGAAGCTGATTGACTACCATGCAGAGCTGCACCAGATGTTGCACGCTCCAGTTTTAGTAAATCAACCCCTTTGTCTTACTGCTCTTTGCAAAGCAATGAAGCTGGAATACCTTGGACCCTCCTTATCCTGTTCTGCCCGCGATTACAAGGACTTGATGACATTTGTGCACCAATATACTATGATTAAAGGGTGCAGGTGCAGGTGCGGACTGACCATTTGGAAACTCGGGCACTGCCCGAGGGCCCGGGGTCAGTAGGGGGCCCCATGAGATGCCCCTGGTACCTTTTTCATAGGCTTTTTTGAGTTTGGGCAAGGACACAGGGGCCCCATGATCCCCTATTGCCCGGGGGCCCCATGAGTTGTCAGTCCGCCCCTGAAAGGGTGCATTGGTGATGGCAGAGCCATGGCCTCCTGTGCTCATCGTATGTCCTCAGTCTTTTGCCCAGTGTCATTGCACCCAGAGGACTGAGGATATCATGCAGTAAAAAGGAGTACTTTGGGGAACAGCTTCTGACTGAATATCCAGTATACAGAGGGGTCAGCATATCAAGCACCGCATCCATGCCACAGACTAAAAATAGTTTTACAACCTTTATTCACATACGAGTAGTCAGATACAAACCATGTATCCGTTAATAAAATGCATAATATAAAAATCCCTGTTTAACATAGACTCCCCTGCAAGTTGTCAGTGTCATACATTGCATGTAATCTCCAAATCCAATGTACATAGGGAGTCCTCATCCTCCTCTCTAATACCTCTACGCATTTCACAGGGTTGACCCACGTCTTCAGGAGGACTTCCATGGATATGCAGCCTGAATGGTTATAGACAAAAACAAGCCTCTTTTAAAACTAAAATGTATATAAAGCTGGGTACACACTATAATGAAATCAGAAGAAAATTTCCATATGAGGAACGAAAATTTGTTTTTCGTATAGCGTGTACACAACATTCGACATCCCATTCAGACTTTCTAAACAAACTTTTCCAAAGGGACAAACTCCAAAATGTTTCTTGTATATGAACAGAACTAATAATTTTTGTCACGGTATGACAAACACAGAGCAACAAAAGGACAAAGGAATAGGCTCATCGATGAGAGGTACATAGGTACATACAATATCAATATATAACAGTGATTTAGCAATTTTCAGACAATTGAGTAGACAAATCGGAATTGAAAGTATCCCATGGTTCCCAAACTGCCTCAAAAGTGGGTACACAGTTAGCGTGTTAAGCAGTGAGGTACATTTTTCTAATTTCAGCGATAACCTTCATTAATTCCGACAGTGTAGGAGACGTAGTAGAAAACCAATGCATGGGAATGGTTCTCCTGGCTGCCGTTAGAATGTGGGAAGAAAGTTTCCTTGCAAATTTGGAGAGGTTTGAAAAAGGTGGATGGGCTCAAATGAAATAGGAGCCCGCAAAAGTGGGTTAAGGACCTCTCTCCAAAAGGGTGCAATGTACTAGCAAGCCCAAAAAATGTGGAAAAGAGTGCCAACTTCCTTGCCACATCACCAGCAGACAGAAGAAACAGTCAGATTACGAGCATGAAGAACCTCAGGAGCAGGGGCGGACTGACCATTTGGAAACTCGGACACTGCCCCAGGGCCCGGGGTCAGTAGGGGGCCCTATGAGATGCCCCTGGTATCTTTTTCATAGGCTTTTTTGAGTTTGGGCAAGGACACAGGGGCCCCATGATCCCCTATTGCTCCGGGGCCCCATGAGTCTGCTACGTTTCTAAAAAAAAAAAAAAAAAAAAAGGCTTTGTCGGAGAATTTTCGTACAATTAGTACCATCCTTGGATTCGACTTGTTGTGAAACATCGAGGAAAACCGGACATTCATTTGCCCGATTTTCTTATAGTGTGTACCCAGCTTAAGTCTAGGTTCACCCTAATGCGTTTTCCGCTGCGTTTTCCATTTTGCCAAAACACACAGCAGTCCATTTAACATGATTTCCTATGGGACAGGTTCACATCTCCGCATTTTCACCTGGTGAGGAAAGGGTCAGGGACTTTAAATGCAAAATGTTGCGTTTTTGTTTCTATAGACTTCAATGGAAACGCTGCAGAAAAGCATGTAGTGTCTTTTTGATGTGTTTTGTGTTTTATTCTGCCCAGCAACAAGTTAATAAAAGAAGAAAAAATGTAAAAGCACATTAAAATGCGGCAAAAAAAGCATGTTGTAAAACGGAAAACGTACTGTAAAAAGCACTGCAGAAACTGATCAAATGCAAACTGCATAGATGTGAACCTAGTCTAAGTCAAAGTATATTTGTACTGTACATACATCAACAATTGCAATACACATTGTATAATGTTTTTTATTATTGTTATTTCCACTCCATCAAGAATCCAAACAGGGGGAGAGCAGCCACCACTTCTAAAACCCTGGGGAAAGGGGGGTTTCAGGTGGGTCCATCATGTAAAATGCATAAAGGCATTAAGAGAGGTGGATAAGGACCCCCTAAATAGATGTAAATTGGGAGATTGCATGCCATTAATGACACTGACCACTTGCAGGGGAGTCTGATATATTGAATA